CATAACAAGAACTAACTACACTGTAATTAATGTTGGTGGATTAACAAGTGCCATAACAAGAACTAACTACACTGTAATTAATGTTGGTGGATTAACAAGTGTCATAACAAGAACTAACTACACTGTAATTAATGTTGGTGAATTAGAATCTGTCAAATTCAAGAAGAAGCAATTCAAATGTTACTCAGAAACTGAAAATACGAAAAAATATATATACAAGGGAACTCGACCAATCAGATACATGGAGACAACAACCTTCTACAGATTTAACGACCTGATTTAAACAGAGTCTGTTAGCACAGATTGGTTGAAGTTGAAAGTAGGCACAATATAAATCTGAAAGTCTCATATTATTTCAAAATAATAAGCTTATATTATTTCAAGATAACAAGTTTATATCATTTTAAAATAATAAGTTTACCGATCAAACATCTTTCTTCTAGAAACAATCTGATGATTATGTCTTAGCTCTATTTATAGAAATGCACTATTTAATATTAATGTATCATATAATGTTAATGATTTTATATCATGATATTCATGCAAATATAAATCAAAAATCAGTATCCCAAAGTTTATACTTGAATATGTTTTATAAAAAAAAGTTAATTATCATTTTAATGACTATACATGGGTATATCAGACTTATAAATCTTTCTCAAGTGTGTATCTAGGATGCATTTTTCATCTCGAAAATAAAAACTAGAAATTCAATTTTGTTTTTTACAATAATATAAAGGGCCAGGTGGTTAGGGCACTCGACTCGCAATCTGAGGGTCGCGGGTTCGAATCCCCCGTTCCACCAAACATGCTCGCCCTTTCAGTCGTGGGGGCATTATAATGTGACGGTCAATCCCACTATTCGTTAATAAAACAGTAGCCCAAGAGTTGGTGGTGGGTGGTGATGACTAGCTGCCTTCCCTCTAGACTTAACACTGCTAAATTAGGGATGGCTAGTGCAGATAGCCCTCGTGTAGCTTTGCACAAATTTCAAAACAATAATACATAGGTGTATGAACATTCTGTATCCATTATCCAAACTTTAGTAAGGTGCCAAACCAACATAAAGTAAGGAATATTTTTATCACCGGAAAATAAAACACATAAAATACATTTGTCTCTTACACTTCCATATGCACATGACAAAGTTATTTTTACTGGTTTTGTAAATGTTGTTCCTGTGTTATTAGCTTTTAGAGCAACTATATATATAAAAGAAGTTACATAAAACGCCACATTTGTTTAAATAGAAATAAACTAATTTACATTTATTGTAAATGATGCAGAGAAGAAAGTAGACCTTGTCTACTCTTTTCTTGACATTGGACAAGTTATATTATTTCAATAATTTTAAAACATAAAATAGATTCAAAAACATATGAAACAGAACCTTTCAACCCTTTAAATGTTTGGGAATATCACTGTCAAATATTCTTTGATAAGTAACCAGAAATCCACAATTCCTTCTTCTTAAAAACAACAAAAAAAGAAGCAAATAAATTTATTTCCGAGTCCAATTTAGAAGAACACCCATCGCCAGGTATCAAACTTAATGTTACAATTTTAATAACACGTCTTATATAAACCATAGAATAATCAAAAACCTCCAGTACAAGCTACAAACCAGTTAAAAATCCTTGAAAGATTTTTCTGTTGCTACAAATTTGGTAAAAAATAAATAAATAAGTCTTTAAAAGATATACTTGTTGCTACAAGCTACAAACTGGGTAAAAATATTCGTAACATCTAGTTGTCAGTAAAAGCTACAAACTGGTAAATATCTTCTTAACATCTAGTTGTCAGTAAAAGCTACAAACTATGTAAATATCTTCTTAACATCTAGTTGTCAGTAAAAGCTACAAACTGGTAAATATTTTCTTAACATCTACTTGTCAGTAAAAGCTACAGACTGGGTAAAAATCTTCTTAACATCTAGTTGTCAGTAAAAGCTACAAACTATGTGAATATCTTCATAACATCTAGTTGTCAGTAAAAGCTACAAACTATGTGAATATCTTCTTAACATCTAGTTGTCAGTAAAAGCTACAAACTATGTGAATATCTTCTTAACATCTAGTTGTCAGTAAAAGCTACAAACTATGTAAAAATCTTCTTAACATCTAGTTGTCAGTAAAAGCTACAAACTGGATAAAATAAAATAGCCTCTGAAGATCCAGTTGATCCTACAAGCAACAAACCCAATAAAAAAAAACTCACAAGATCTAGTTGTTGCTACAAGCTGGATAAAATAATCCCATTTTAATGAAATTGTTACTAAAAGCTACAAACAGGCAAAATTAAAGAGATCTCAGATTTATTGTACAAGAACAAAGGACTACTATGATAAAAAAATGTTTTATTGAATATTAGAAAAAAGCTTGGATAAAAGAAATTTCAATGTGTGCAAATAATAAGAATCTGACTAAGCACCTAAGCCTTACTTAGATTTACTTGTATATCTTCCAAAAATCTTTGTAACAAAACTATGTGACATAAGAAACTTTAAATGTTTATGTTATAATCTAACATTCGAAATGAAGTTAAATTTAAAAAAAAAGCTTCTACTAACTAGCACACAGGTTTTAACAAAATTTGTGCAAGTGTATTGAGAATAGTAAGCTAAGGTGAATTAATAAGAAAATCCATTAAATAAAAAATGTCCACTTCATCTCTAATTTGAACCTTATTTATACTACAGATTAAATAATTTTGATACACAGGTGTATTCAGTGGACTTCTTAATTCCACATTCTTATAGGGATCAGTTATGTAGATTTTATTTGTAAATATCCCTAAATTAACTGACCGTAAGAAAGTTCGCACAAGATGTGATAAGATTCAATTAAATACATGTCGTCTTAGAAAGTATTTATGAGTTAAACTCTCGATATCTTGTGATTAGAATATATAGTATTGCTTTTACCTAAAAAAAAAAAAAAGCTGTCAAATTGAAAATAGTTGAATAAAGAAAAGGCAGGTGGAAATAAGTTACTACAAAACTGGATTGTTCAAGTACACATTTTAAAAAGTAAAATATTCTTCAATAAACTGAAGATTCGTTTGTGCCAGATATCTTTATATTTACTAAAGAAAAACAATTTCAGGCCCATACGTAGAATGTTTGGAAGGGGGTTCTAATTTGTGAGACCAAAAGCCAACACATATTGTGTGAAGCACAATCAGTATGCTAATACTATTGGGGGGGGGGGGGGTGCGCTACTGTTTCAAGCCAAAAAATGCTAATGCTTCATCAGAAGAATGTAGACTATCGTAGAAAACGTTAATTATTTTCCCTAAGCAACTGCGCTATGACCAAATAAGCATAATTTCTTTTCATCACAAAAATAGAGGGTTTTGCTGAACCCTCTCTGCTCGTATATATATCCCAGAAGTTAAGCAGTTTAGATCATTCTTTCATAAATCTTTATTGGTTCCTCCTGAGTTTATACATTGACCGACCCATTAAGACATAAGCCCACACACTGATGCGGAATTAGTCGGTTTTATATCCAAACAAAGACAATTTTTTACATCACAAAAATAGGGGGTTCAGACACACACCCCTGCATACTGGCATGAATTTACTTACATTTCTATCCTGGAAAGACAAATATCCAACTGAACCTCCACTAAACATACAATAGGCTTAACTGTTACAAGCAACCTAAAAAAGTCCTCACTGTAAATCCACTAAACAGACAATAGGCTAAACTGTTACAAGCAACCTAAAAAAGTCCTCACTGTAAATCCACTAAACAGACAATAGGCTAAACTGTTACAAGCAACCTAAAAAAGTCCTCACTGTAAATCCACTAAACAGACAATAGGCTTAAATGTTACAAGCAACCTAAAAAAGTCCTCACTGTAAATCCACTAAACAGACAATAGGCTAAACTGTTACACGAAACCTAAAAAAGTCCTCACTGTAAATCCACTAAACAAACAATGGGCTAAACTTTTACAAGCAACCTAAAAAAGTCCTCACTGTAAATCCACTAAACAGACAATAAACAGACAACCTAATAAAGTCCTCACAGTAAAAATTCCAGCAAATAATTATTACACTTTATTTCAATGTCACATAGTGGTCTTACAAAAAAATGTATACTAACCTTTTGTTTTCCAGATGGGACCACATATTTATACTTCAAACTATCTAACATAAAGACAACACAAAATTAACATGTAATAAGACTATACATGAGCTTGTAATATATTTATTTGAATTAACTATTTCACAGAAGAACAAATAAAATTTGTAAACTACTATTAATTTTTTTTTGTAGTGGTAATAAGTCAATTAAGGTTTCTCCATTTTGGCCAGTTACTTGATATTAAATTTAAAGAGAACTAGAACCAATTATAGAAGGCAAACAAAGACGGATTAAAATATCAAATTTTCATTCTTTATATCTAATCAAGCAGTTGAAGACAACAAACTTGAAAAATACCATTAATTTTTTTCAGCTGGGATAAACTGTATTATTGTATCAATAATAAATCCCTTGTTTCCTGTTCCCAACACAGCGTTAACAAGCCTTTCATCCTCTCGGTGATGTTTCTATTGGATGGCTACTTCTTAATAACGCTGTCTGAAAGGTCAATAAATAAATAAATATGTTTATAGTCAGTAAACGGTTAGAATACTTCTACTTACAGTTGTCGTATACAGAATCACTACCTTGGCAAGCAATGTCAAAGTAACCGCAGAGAGAAAAAGCAGGTTTTTTTATAAATACAAATTACCAAAGACACAAAATGCATTATAAAAATTTAAACTGCCACTTTTCATGATTAAATTAAGATGGTTAAAGAGTCTAGGATGACCTGGAGGAAGGTCTTTATGATGGTTAAAGAGTCTAGATGACCTGGAGGAAGGTCTTTATGATGGTTAAAGAGTCTATGATGACCTGGAGGAAGGTCATTATGATGGTCAAAGAGTCTATGATGACCTGGAGGAAGGTCTTTATGATGGTTAACGAGTCTAGGAGGACCTGGAATAAGGTCTTTATGATGGTTAACAAGTCTAGGAGGACCTGGAGGAAGGTCTTTATTATTTATCTTAGTGGTCATTATATCATTAAAGTAAAATAGAGAGCAAAACAAAATAGGACAGAGGATGCATCTTTGTGTTGAAATATAACTCACTTTAGCTTCTTTGTGTATTTGATGTGACACAGGAAAATGGCCAAAATGGTGGAATCCAGCTACCATTTTTAGAGCACCATCATCATCAATATTCTGAGGATCAAATTTGGCATTTGGATATGAAGGAAAAATTCTGTAGTATGATGAAATATTTTCATTTAAGAAAAAAAATCTCAAACAAATAATTTGTTACTTATACAAATCAAAGAAATATAAGAACAGGACAAAAAAAAATAATATATATATATATACTGGGGGATGTCAGATAGGGATGTCTTCATCATGTATGTATACTGTTGATGTCAGATAGTGATGTCTACATCATGTATATATACTTTTGATGTCAGATAGTTTAGGTACATCATGTATATATATACTGTGGAAGTCAGATATTTATGTCTACATCATGCATATATACTGGGAGATGTCAGATAGTGATGTCTACATCATGTATATACTTTGGATATCAGAAACCGAGGACTACATCACTTATACATGGATGTGTGATCCACTTGCTACTATTTTTTGTC